GGAGGAAGGACGAGGAGCAGATGAGACCTGCCATGTGGGAAGGAAGTGCATGGAGAAGGAGATACTTTGCTTTTTTTTTTTGGTTGCTGTGGAATGGAATGAACACCCACTAATGAATGCACAGTACCCATATGAGTATTTGTGGTCTTTGTACGTATCTGTGTAAACACATGTTTGTGGGAATATAAAATCTCCATCCTTGTATCTGTGCATGTGTGTAATGCTACCCCTTGCTTCTGTGGTTTTGCACATGCTGTTTCTAACCCCCTCCCTTTTTTTAAAGCTTGCTTATAACAATGAAGTCTTCAGGCTTCTCACAGTAATGAATGATTGCATGCAACAAGCATGTGTTGCCCTTCACGGAATGGCCCCTTTCAAGCCACTGCAAAATAGCTGCATATTATGAAGTCCTCACGTAAAATGGTTTTTTTGGGGGGGGGCTGCATTCAACAGGAGCCCCCAAGGACTGCTTTCGAAGCACTTTTGTGCTTCAACAGCACAAAAGTTCCTGTTTGGATTATAGTGCCCGTGGGAGGGTCTAGGAGTTGTACTTTTAAAAAGTGACTTTTCTGAGCTGCATTCCAGCTATTGTTTAAATGAAGGTCTATGGATGGCACCTTTTGGACATACATTCTCCAATTTAGTCAATACTACATTGTCCTTCTGATAACAACATGCAATTAGCCCACTTGCATCTGTTGTATATCATGAAAATATCAATGCACACATTTATGAAAGAATCTGCTTGCCCCTACCTACCGCCTTGCAGTCCTTTCCCAGCTTTTCTTGGTCAAGATTACTTTTTTGGGGGGTACCAGAGCTGGCTAACAGAAAAGTAATATTGTTGACCAGGCTGTGGTGAAGTGGATTGGGTGAGAGAACATAGCATCCCCGGATTTCTTTTTACTCTTAAAATCAGACTCCAGTTCTCTGCTTTAGTGGCCTGAAGGGCAACGTAGAGCCTCCCAGTAGGGCTGGATTGTGATCCACAATCTTCCTTCCCATTGGCTGAGATGGCTTGGGCAGATGGGAGCACCAGTTCATCAACATCCAGAGTGCTGCACTTTGCCCACCCCTGCTCTAAGGAGAGAGAACCACTCATCTGCTGCCCCATTTAACTGGTGTGCTTGCGCATGTTATCTCAATGCTGGGAGCATTTATTAGTGTACATTCAAAAAGTAGATATTCCAGGTATTGACAAAATGAATCTGAAATAGGGACCACTCATTTATGAATGTTGTTTATTCATTGGATTTGGATGTTTGCTATAAGTGATGGCAGGACTAGATGTTACAGCAGCCACAGAACTGCTGCTGTTTTGTGCCTCTCCCCACCCCTGCCTTTTCCTGCTCTTCCTAGTAACATCTAGCATAAAAGAATGCCAACAAACATTGACCAATCCAGCCTTCCTTGGATATGACGTTTACAGAAGGGATGGTCAATGTGTAGCGTTCTAGATGTTGTTGGACTGCAACTCCCATCATCCCCTTGCATTTGCTCTTCTGTTTAGGAGTGGAAACTGTAGCCTAAGGGTGTGATCAGACAGCTGCAAAGGCAGGCCTTGATCACACCGGAAAAGGTTGCTTTAAGATGATCATCCTTAAATCAACCCTTTTATCTCCTGGGGAATTGCTCCAGTCTGGCTCCAAAAAGTGAAAACTGTACAGCTGGACCAAAATGGGTCAGCTTGGCACAGGTTGGGGTCAAGGTTGAGCATAGCTCCCCATGTGGAAATACTGTAGCTGACACTAGACCACTCCATAAGTGGCCTAAATTGTGATCTATTTTCCCATGTGATCAAACCCTAACTATATTTGGAGAACATTTGTTCCCCAGCCTTGCCATATAGTATGAGGAAATAGTTTTCACTGTGGCTTTAATCATTCAGGAATCTTCAGGTGCTACAAGTGAAGAGTTCTGAGGCAAAATATTATGTGAATGGAAGATCCAGCTGGTCCTTCCATGGCATATGCTCTTTGCAGATCTATAAGAACACAATGCTTGTTTCTCTTGGAAAAGCTTTGCTTTCTCTTTGATCCACCCACAATGCTGTTGTATGTGTGTGTTAACAACAAATTTAAAGGAAATTTAAAAGGATTTACAATGCTAATCAGAATACTTTAATTTGATTTTGTTATAACATTTTGAACAGAGCTGCAAATTTTCTTCGACAGGATGCAACTAAGGCTGTGTGTTCGCTACAATGCAAAAATCAACATGAAGTAAAACTAAATTATTTAGACTAACAAAATTCATGAAGATGAAGGAAGAGCATGCTGTGTTCGTCAGTTTATTAGACATGCAGATTTCTTTCTGTTTTTTTTAGTTACTATGCAGAAGAGAAATCTGTAATTTATTTTGTAATTTTTGGAACCAAAGCCCTGTGAGGCACTACAGAATTGACTGAGTTAAATTTATATCCCACCTTTTTCCAAAGGAACTCAGGATGGTGTATACGGTTCTTTTCTCTTTCCACACAGTCTTCCTTTTTATGCTCACAACAACCCTGTAAGATAGACTAGACTGACAGATAGTGATTTGACCCGACATCTCTTAATGAGCATCATGAATTAACTGGAGATTTGAACCTGTGTCTCTGCACCATCTAGCCGCAATGTGGTATTGATTGGAGAAAGACAACAATAATTTTTATCAGACTAAAATTTGATACAGAAAAGGACCCCTTCATCTTGCTTCTGGCTCTGCGAAATACGTTGTTGTGCTGTTACAAAAACTGTCATGTTTGCTCAGAAGCAACAGTGGAACCAAAGGAAGAAAATACTATAGAAATAGATATATATTGTACTTATTTATACTCCTCTCCTTTTGCCAATGAACTCAAGTGGCGTACATGACTGTCCTTATAATAACAATAGCTCCACATCTATCCATGCACACATACAGACAGAGCATCTATATTGCATTTTTGATGTTCAACTTTGTTGTAGAATTCTTACCATAGCCCTGCAAAGTAGGTCAATATTATTCCCTCCCCATTGCAGGGAGAGGTCTGTGTTTCAGAACAGTGGATTCATAGCTAAGATAAAAACACATATTGGCAACTTGCCAACAATAGCTTATTTGCCCAGCCAGTGCATATTTAAGATTAAAATATCTTCAAAATGAACTAGAGAGTATTTTTTTAAAAGAACCACACACAAATAGAATGCTAAGATTAACAGGAAACTGAATTCTGCACCCATACAGAGAAGGTATTACGTTCTGTGTATTTTAAGCTCCCCTATGTAATGGCAATACACATGCAAATCCTAGATCAGCAGGGAGGAAGCCGTGCTGTGACATTCTGCTTTTTCTCCCCTTCCTAACCCCAGAGCTCTGGCCAAGCTGTGCCCCTCGTGGTGGAGAGCTGTATTCGCTTCATCAACCTCCATGGTAAGATCTTCGTTGTACTCTGGACCTCCTCCTTTGGAGTGTGTCCTCTTTCTCCAAAACAAAGCTTGTGGCATGAGGGCTGTGTCAAGGAACAAGAGGAATGGGGACATTGAGTCGTCCCCTCCTGGCTTTTTTTTTTTTTAAGAATGGGGACATCGAGTCTTCCCCTCCTGGCTTTTTTTGTTTTATTTTATACAGTCCCTGAAGAAGATCATGAATTCAGGCCAAAACGTGTTGGGCAATTTTTAACCGAAATAAAGGATACAGTATATTTTCTTACAACCTGATATTACATCTTCTCCTTCTGAATCAGATTAGGGCTGGGTCAGTCTAAAAACTGAGTGAAAACTTTCTATTTCTCTTCTAAAGAATGTGACTGTGTTGTTTCCTTCCACCCTTTGCCAGGACTCCAGCACGAAGGTATTTTTCGAGTGCCAGGATCTCAAGCACAGGTAGCAGAGATCCGGAATGCTTTTGAGAAAGGTGAGTGGGGTTGGATAAAGATAACGGTGAAAGGGTGTGCGGAAGGAAATAAAGAAAGGCAAAGCCTAGAAAAGTTACTTCTGGATTCCGCCCCCAAGAATTCCCCAGCTAACATGAGATATTCTAGGAAGAGTATTAAAAGAAAGTGTTTTCAAGTTCAGGAGGACAAATTCCATGATCATTAGAGTATGCTAGAAGGAGGGGATAATAATAATGGGTGCTGTTTCTATTCAAGCATAAAATATCAGCCATTTGGAACAAAGACCAAAGACAAAATACCAGGAATGAGTAATGTTGCCTGATGTGGGACAATTTACCAAGGAGAGAAGACATGTAGCAAATTTATGTAGGTGTGCTCAGTATGGAAAGCAGTCTGGGAATATCCCCGTGGCTTAATTTAGCATGTGTCTCACTGAACATGTACAAAGGGCCTTTTTTGCAATGTCTAAACACAGCCATACTCCAAATACTTGGGATTATTGGGGGAAGTGCTTTTAAATTAATGGGAGTGGCTTCCTTAGCAAACATGATCCCATGCATAATCCCTCTCCCATTCCCTCCTGCAATAATGTTTTGACTTGATTGTTTGGTTATTGCTTCCATATCATTCCATTTAAATGTAATCTCATACCCAATAGGTATCGTAAGTCGCAAGTTGAGCATGATTCCCATCTCCTTTATCTTCACAGTAGGTCCCTGCCGTAGGTTAGCTTTGGGGCTGGTGATTTGCCCAAATCCATCCAGAAATATTCATGGCTGAGGGAGGATTTGGAAGCTTCCTCCTGGAGCCACATTTCTGATTTTGCATGGCACTGTTGCTATTCTGTGAGGCATACAGATTATAGAGGGCGTCTTGTAAGGAAAGGATGGCTGTAGTGACTTGTCATGTAATCTCATATCCAATAGGTATCGTAAGTCGCAAGTTGGGCATGATTCCCATCTCCTTTTTCTTCACAGTAGGTCCCTGCTGTAGGTTAGCTTTGGGGCTGGTGATTTGCCCAAATCCATCCAGAAATATTCATGGCTGAGGGAGGATTTGGCAGCTTCCTCCTGGAGGCACATTTCTGATTTTGCATGGCACTGGTGCTATTCTGTGAGGCATACAGATTATAGAGGGCGTCTTGTAAGGAAAGGATGGCTGTAGTGACTTGTCCTTCTCTGCCAGGCGAGGACCCTCTAGCAGATGGTTACACACAGCATGACTTGGATTCAGTAGCTGGAGTGCTAAAATTGTATTTTCGGGGATTGGAGAAACCCCTCTTTCCTTGTGACATTGTTCCGGAGTTGCTGGCAACAGCCCGTAAGTATATACAGTATGGCTACAGATCCATGTTTGATCTTGCCTTCTTATTGATGCCCCTCGCCTACAGTATGTGGAGTGATTGCACGCACAGATGCATGTATGTAAGAACATCATGGAGTTGATGTTGTGGATCATATATCCTTGTTCCAAAACAATCCAAAGAAGATTGTGATTTTTATCTTTTTAATTTCTCTCTTTCAGTGGTTGAAAGTATTTTCGGGGAGAAACCCCTCTTTCCTTGTGACATTGTCCCGGAATTGCTGGCAACAGCCCGTAAGTATATATGGCTACAGATCCATGTTTGATCTTGCCTTCTTATTGATGCCCCTCGCCTACAGTATGTGGAGTGATTGCACGCACAGATGCATGTATGTAAGAACATCATGGAGTTGATGTTGTGGATCATATATCCTTGTTCCAAAACAATCCAAAGAAGATTGTGATTTTTATCTTTTTAATTTCTCTCTTTCAGTGGTTGAAAGCATATTTCTTCTCCTTACAAGGGATTAAAATGGACTTGAGGCCAGATAAAATTGTTTTGTAGATTACACCTGTCCTGTTGGGATACTTGGCGATTCTTAATATAAATACAGTGGGGTCTTGACTTGTCCATGTTTGATCTTGCCTTCTTATTGATGCCCCTCGCCTACAGTTTGTCGAGTGATTGCACGCACAGATGCCTGTATGCAAGAACATCATGGAGTTGATGTTGTGGGTCACATATCCTTGTTCCAAAACAATCCAAAGAACATTGTGATTTTTATCTTTTAATTTCTCTCTTTCTTTCAATGGTTGAAAGCACATTTCTTCTCCTTACAAGGGATTAAAATGGACTTGAGGCCAGATAAAATTGTTTTGTACATTACACCTGTCCTGTTGGGATACTTGGCAATTCTTAATATAAATAATTCTTTTGCTAAAACCAGAGCTTGGAAAAGTTGCTTTTTGGAGTAAAATTCCCAGAAGCCCCCCCTGGCCACAATGGCCCTTGGTCGTTCTGCCTAGGCAATTCTCTGAAATCCCAAAAAGTCAGTTTTCTAAGCTTGGGCTAGAACTATAAAATAGAACTAATGTCCTGCTAACTACAGAAATCAAGTTAATTAACTATTGGAGAAATCTGAAATAGCCAATAGAGTGGGACAAGGCTGTTTTGGCTGTGGGTGATATCTCTCTGCAATTCTCTTTCACTCTAAGATATCCTCACCATTTTTTGCCTGCTGATGGAAGGCTTTTTAAAATAATAATCCTGGAAGACTATGAGTACTCCAGTTTTATTGATTTACTGCACATATTTTTACTGTTTCCATTGTCACAAAGAGGTTTGCTCCCAATCCCCAAAAGACAGCAATATCAATGTGCAAGCCTCTCTGCCTTTGTTAAAGCTGGGAAAGTGGAATCTGTTCTCCACACTTGTGCTGCATCTTGGATGGGACACCTATCCTACACTGGATGCCTGAACACCTAGCCCTCACTGAAGTACTGTAGTCAGTTTTTGTCTGGGTTATCCCCGTTAAGATCTTGCAAGAGTTCTAACCTGGAAAAGCTCTGTATGGATTAGCCACTCTCTCTTTTGGGTGGGTGTGTCACCATTTGCAACTTGAAATGACGCAGCTCAAACACAGGTGGAGGAGAGTACCCTTCCTAGTGGGACTACAGCTGACTGTGTTGGCTTCAGATCTATGAGAGGGTGAGAGAGATCAAGGTCTGACATTGATCCCCCACAGATGAGTGCAGATACATATCAAGAAGAACAGGAACAAAAGTGGGAAGTGTCCTATTGCACACCACATGCCGGTGCCCCGCCCTCCACTGTCCCCATGCCCCTTTCTGCTGCTGCATGGCTCTTTGTAAACAGCGGTGCTTATTTCTGGAGTGATCATCCTTGGGGAAAAAGACCAAAAAGTTTTCTATCATCTTAAAGGCTAACATTTTTTTTCTCTTTAATTTGGCATAAGTTTTTGTTGACTGTAGCCTGTTTCTTGAGACACATGGAGTATATGCCTCATATGCGTCAGTGTCTGCTGAGGTTACATTCCATGCATCTCTGGAAGTAGGCCGTAACCCAAGAAAAATGATGTCAAATAAAAATACTTGTTAGCCTTTAAGGTGTCACAACTTTCTGAGGCTTTTTTGTTGTTGCTGCGACAGATTAAAAGGGCTCCCCCTCTGATTCATCATTGGGAATGCGGTCTTGTTCTTCTTTGTGGCTTCTGTGAATCACATCCTGGGTGATTTGCGCCTGCGCGGAGCCTCATCGGAAGATTCTAGATCTTCTGTGGTAGCAATGAACACATTAGAATAGCCCCTTCCCCACCTGTATAAGTACCTTGGTGCCAAGCATCAACTTTCAGTTTCTTTCAACCGCCGCACTGAGAGAAGAAACATTAGATGGGGAGAAAGCCATGTTTTCAAATGGTTTTTAAAAACATCCAGCGAGGGCGCCAGACGAATTTCTGTTGGGAGGTTGTTCCAGAGCCGAGGGGCCACTGCCAAGAAGGCCCGGTTTCTTGTTCTTTCTTTCTGGGCCTCTCTCAGTGTTAGGCCCCTCAGCCGTCCCTGCTGGCTATGTCAGGTGATTCGGGTAGAACTAGGTGGGAGAAGACACTCTGCCAGATATTGAGGTCCCAAACCGTTTAAGGCTTTATACGTCATCATTAATACTTCGAAGTCAATGCGGAAACAAATGGGCAGCCAATGAAAAGCAGCCAGAGTGGGGGGAGATATGCTGATATTTCCTCACCCCACTAAGGAGCCTGGTTGCCGCATTCTGAACCTCAAAGGCAGCCCAACGTGGAGTGTGTTACAATGGTCTAACCTCGAGATCGAGCGCGTGGACAAGAGTAGGGACGCCCCCCCCATCAAGATATGGGCGCAGCTGGGCAATCTGCCATAGATGAAAATAGGCGGAGCGGACCACGGACGCCACCTGGGTTTCCATGGTAAGCGCCGGGTCCAGATGTATCCCCAAGCTGCAACCTTTGCTCTTTGCAGCAAGGGTCATCCCCTCAAAAGAGAGGGAATGACCCAAACCGCTGATGGAGGAACCACCCACCCTCAAGACCTCCATCTTGTCCGGTAATTTAAGATTATTAAACAACTACATTGTCACCACAAAATTCTGTATGATTACGCTAGAATCAGTTCTTCCCTTACTTCGAAAAAACAACTGGTTCATTGTCATAGACCTAAGAGATGCTTACTTTCATATTACAATACATCCCACACACAGAAAATTCCTTCGTTTCAAACTTGGATCACAAGTTTAGCCGCCTAACTCAGACTTCAAAACATTCTCGTCTTTCCATATATTGATGACTGGACCAGAAAATATAGGCAAAATAGAGTGATCTCTCACCTTAGTACAGCTTAGAGTGTGGTAGTAACTAGTTACAGACAACAAAGATACTGTATTCTCGAAGGCTTTTACAGCTGGGATCGATGGTTGTTATAGGTTTTTTGGGCTGTTTGGCCATGTTCTGGAGGTTTTTCTTCCTAACATTTCGCCAGTCTCCGTGGCCGGCATCTTCAGAGGACAGGAGTTAGAACTCTGTGTTCTGGTGTAGTGTGTGGGATAGTTAAGTATTTGTAGCTGTAGGCCACGGAGACTGCCCCCAAAATTCCCCAAAACCTACAACAACCAACAAAGATACTCTTAACTATTTTGTTTAGGTTAATTGGTAATGTAACTGATAGTCATAAAGCTATTTTAGTTAATTATAAAAGTTACCTTTTAAGGCATTTTAGTGAGGCATTTTTGTCAGAATTTTTCAGGTTTTATGCCATTCTTTTATGAATTATAACTGATAAGGGAAGTATTCTTTGTCTTTTAAATTTTTACAAGTGCTTTTAACATGCAGTATCAGAATTGGCCATAAGAGGGAACCACACAGTATTTCCCTGTATTTTTCTCATCTGGTAGTAAGGATAATACAATGTGTTAATAACACATAATGCAACAAATTGCTTATGCAGTTGGAATAACAATAAGAACAATTGCAGTCAGGCAGGAGAGGAGTAATGAGTGACACAAGGCACTCCATTTAAAATGTGACATGCTGAACTCTTGTTGCAATTTAAGTCTGAATGTTGACTGTACATTCTATGGGAGAAAGGACAAATTGAAAGTGTGGGGAAGAAGAACAGGTCACTGGAGACGGAAGCTGCTCAGATCCTTAATTGGACAGAATGGAAAAGACCAGCAAATTCTCAGCTGTTGAAACAATTGCATGATGACATAATAAAAGAAACAATTCAGATACTTCTGAAAGAAAATGATCTAAAATATTTAGTGATTCCTGTGGTGATAACACCCAAAGGGGGAGCCAAATGAAAAAAAACAACGGAGCTTCAAGTGTTGCCTTGTGTGCTCCTCAAGGTTACAGGTTCTGCTAACATCTGAATGTGGGTGATTGCTTTGCTATGGGCTATGCTGGGTGGGGTGGGGGCAGGTTTTTGGGACTCTAACAGAAAAAAAAACAAAGCAAACAAAAAAGCCAAAATAAAAACAAATGTAATTTTCCTAAGCTCTGAAATTAATCAGCTCTGTGCCTGTGCCTGTGTATAGAATATTAGTTCTCAACAACACTCTAATAATATTTCATCATATTTCATTACTTCCCAGAACTGGAGTCTTCAGCTGAGCGCATCTCACACCTTCGAGCCCTCGTATCTCAGCTCCCATCTGTTGTGCTGGTAGTTCTGCGGTACCTCTTCGCCTTCCTCAACCAGTGAGTATCCAGGCCCCAGCTTGTTGGTCATCAATTGAGGACATCATGTGGCTAGTGCCGGTTGTGCACAGATTCCCATAGAAACAGCTTTTGGTGGGTAGGAGAACTGGTTCTCCCCATCTAATGTTTCTTCTCTCTTCAGCTTATCTCAGTACAGTGACGAGAACATGATGGATCCCCACAACTTAGCCGTATGCTTTGGCCCTACCCTGGTGACAGTCCCTGCAGGCCAGGATGCTGTGTCGGTTCAGCCCCACATCAATGAGGTGGTGAAGTGCCTGATTGTGCATCATGAGGCCATCTTTCCTGGAACAAGTCAGCTGCCTGGGCCCCAGTACGAGAAGGTCATGGCACTGGCTGAAGAGGAGTACTGGTAAGATGGGGGTTAAGAATGAGCAGATATTGAAAGTCAGGTGTGAGAGCACCACGTGTGTGCATGTTTCTGTGTGTGACCGGTGAAAGCCAGCATGGTGTAGTGTCGAGCCGGGACTTGGGAGAGTTGGGCTCCAGTCTCCATGCTTGCACGATAACCTTAGAGCAGACTTTCTCTTGGCCTGACCTAACTCACAGGGTTGTTGGGTGGAGGAATGGGGAAAGAGAAACTCCAGGTATACCACCGCAGGATCATGGGAGGAAAGACAAAGTGGACAAGAAAACCTATCAAATAGACAGCTTCCCCGTATACCACCACAGGATCATGGGAGGAAAGAAAACCTATCAAATAGACAGCTTCCCCATCCCATTTGGCTCATCTTGCTTTAACTCTCCTCTTCTTCTCAATGACAGTGATGTGTTGCCACTGGAGGCCACGGCCGAGGAGCCGGAGACAGAGGGGACCCCTGAGACGCCAGCCAGTGAAGATGGTGAGTTGTGGGAGGATTGTGAGCTTCTGGGATTAACAAGAGTCAGAGTGTGACTGCATGGTGAAATATTATGAGATTTGCTCCACTTATAAAATGGATGAATTTGGTGTACAGTGCTGCCTCAACTTACAACCATAATCCATTCCAGAAGATGGCTGTACAGTGGTGCCTCGCATTACGATGTTAATTCGTTCCAGCAAAATCACTGTAGAACGAAAACATCATAAAGCAATTTTAAAAAGCCCATAGAAATGCATTAAAACCCGATTAATGCGTTCCTATGGGCTTGAAACTCATCGTCCAGTGAAGATCCTCCATAGCGCGGCCATTTTCGCTGCCCATGCAGTGAGAATCCACCCCAGAAAACAGCAGGTGGCCATTTTTTAAAACCCGGTGGCCATTTTGAAACCGCCGATCAGCTGCGCGAAAATCGTTGTTTTGTGATAATCGGTTAGCGAAGCAGGGAACCGATCATCGCAAAGCGAAAAAAACCCATAGGAAACATCGTTTTGCGATCGCAAAAACTTCATCGCAGTGCGATTTCATTGTAAAATGAAGCGCTCGTCTTGCAAGGCACTACTGTAACTCAAAATGATCGTAAGTCGAAGCACCTTCTCATAGGAATACATTGAAACCCCATTAATCAGTTCCAGCTGGAAAATAAATTAAAAAAAATTAAAAAAGGACAATCCCCCCACAGCCAACCCCAGCAGAATGCTGTGGGTCTGGGGAAAAAAGGCAACCCCCCACAGCAAGCCCCAGCAGAATGCCATGGGGCTGGGGGAAAAAAACACTGCTCACACACACGCGTGCATAGCGAGCCCAAACGCAATGGGGCTGGGAAGAAAAAAAACACCAAAACACAAAAAACATCTCCCCCACAGCAAGCCCCAGCAGAACGCCACGGGGCTGGGGAAAAAAAAACCACTGCTGACACACACGCGTGCACAGCGAGCCCGGGGCTGGGAAGAAAAAAACATCAAAACATAAAAAACATCACAGCAGAGAAGCATAAACCCCTCCAAACCCAAACGCACCCTGCAAAACAAAGTACATGTACTTATTCAGGAGCAAAAAGCAGCACCAAGCAGTCCGAAGCCTCCTCCGATTGCACTCACTCTAACTGTTGGGACGAAAGAGCTACAGCAAAGCAGCCTCTTCGCCTACCAACGGTTAGCAAATTTGAATTCCCCGCCTTTTTCCTTGCCTTTTTCCTGTCACAATTCAAAGCTCCGGCCGCAAGTCGAAGCAAAATTTTGCAGCCGGAGCTGGTCGCTACTTGAAATGGTTGTAAGTTGGGACATTTGTAAGTCGAGGCACCACTGTATTTCTTTACTGACCACATGAAGCAAGCCCAGCCCTTTTTGCTATCTATGTGGCTTTTTTCCTCTGCTACTGGGGGCAGAAGCTTCTCCTTGTTCAAGGCAGAACAATTCAGATGGTCTTTTTTCTATGTGGATAGTTGTGATATATTCTTGTAAAGACAGAGGGCATGTAGGTGGTGTTTCGTTGACACAGGCCATCGGGGCATTATGTTCAGGACCAGGGGAACATGCCCCTGCGTTCTTTCCTCCCCCCCCCAATTATCCTTTGATTTTAATAAAATATTTTTTTACATAAATGAAATTAAGCGCTAGGTCATCCTATCACCTTGTGGATGGGCCATCATCATCATCATTTCCCAAATTTACACCCTATAAAAGGATCGGCAGAGGTGGGACCAAAGGAAGGAAGGAAGGAAAGAAAGGTGGGCTGTGAGCTGGAATGTGAATTGCAACACATCCATTATGAATGGTGAACTCCCGACTCAATCCACAGTCCCTGTGTGAGCACTGACTGCGATTTCATACGTAATATAGTTTGTGAATCAAATCACTCTGATTCTGCTAATCCAGCATAGTTACACTCTTGCTTTGCTTTATTGCCTTGGGTGAAAATTAACTTGGTTCCTCCTCTGTATCTGACTGCAAACTGCATAAATGAACCTTAACTTTCTATTTAGTAATATAGGAGGTGGTGGGTGCCCTGTTGCCATCTTTTGGAGACATAACCCAAATTTCGCTACACCAACTCTGCCTGCAAGTATGGTGCTGTACTGTACCCTGGTTTACAGTTTGCTAACAGTTTGCTAAGGCAATTTACAACTACTCCGAATAGGGTAGGAAATAATCTTTGGGAAGAGGCTTCTCTGTTTAGTCCTTTTCTGCCATATTGTCTGCTCCTGTCCTGGGAAGTTGTTCAAGGACTCATATTGTTGGTGGGATACATTGACATTCCTCTCCTCTGCTTTCTTATCCTCTCAGAATGTGACTCCCAGTCTGAGCCAGTTTTGCCACGCTCTGGTTCCACAATTCAACACGAGGAACGGTTTGTGCCACAACGAACGGCCCCGGTTGGCTGGCGTCGAGGTGAGCGTGGTGGCAACCGGGGACTAGTGCCTCCCATTGTTTTGCCTGACAGGTGAGTGGCACACCTTGAAGAGGAGAACCTGGTGCTCCCTACTAAGGAAGAATGTGGCAATTAGCCCCTGTGGGGAGAGTTACATCCATTTGAACTGGAAATTTAGGTTTATTAGAATAGTTTACAGAGGGAAAAACATTGTTTTAGCTGACAACGCCTCCCTAAAGCCTCTTTTAGGTAAATGAAAGGGAGATTTTACACAGTCTTACACATTATATTCAACTATGTTGTCTGAAAAACAAACATTGAGCATAAGAGACCCTAATCCCAAATTAGATCACCAAACTGAGGCGTGACTGTATCGTCTCACTCTGTGATCCTTCACACTCCATCCACAGGGAAGTAGAGATGGTGAACATCCATCCTTGGATGGTAATGTACATTTTCTTTACTTTCACTATTTTGATGTGTGGCAATGTGGTTAGGATCATGTTGGGAAATGTCAAGAATAACCTTCTCTCGCAAAAGTTGTGACTCTAATCCAGATTCCCCACCTCCCACAGCACTTGTTTTTAATTAAAATCCTGGTGTCACTTCAAGCAACACATTTAAGGTAATGTTTAGTTAAACTTACTGACTGTCTTCATTCTCAAAGCAGCAAAATTCTGTTGGCACATAGCTGCATTTACATTAGGTAGGGAAGATCTCCATCATATGTTGTGGTATCCCTCATAACAGGAGATCACTGATTTTATAATTTCATCTTCCTGCCTTTCTGTCTAGGTTCTGGAAGTCTCTAACCACAGCTTTCCTCTGTCATTGGGTGCTCCAGTTTTTACCTTGTGTTGCTTGGAGTCATTGTACTGTAACCAGGTCTGGCTCTACCAGTAGGCAAATGATGTGCTGGTTGTTTATGTGTCGATGGACAGACTTGTGTGAATCAAACAATCTGCCTCATGTACTGTACAGTAGTGTGTGTAGTTTTCCTACCAGTGTTGGATTTAACTCCTGTTCTGGTCAGCTTCTAACTGTGGAATGAATTGCGGGAAGGTGCTGTCTTTGCCTCAGGCAGCAAAAGGTGTTTTGCAGGTCCTTTTAACTCCTAGGCAGTATCTTGCAAGTAATTGGAGCACCTCATAGAAACTGTTCTATTTCTGAGAGAAAAATGGTTTTCTTTAATGACATGACTATTCTTAATTTCTCCCTCTGAAAATGGCTGAAACCAAGGTTCAGGCCTTCATGAGTAGGCTAATAGTGGCTGAGTAATGCTGAGCTGTAGTCTCTGTGGTTTTCTGTAGATCACTGGTAGGAATAAGAGTGCCCGCATCCTCTGTGCCGGAGTGCTCCTGTCTACTGCTCCCTCACAGCACCACAGCCAGGTCTGCAGCATGGAAAGAGCCTTTTTGAAAGATTGATAAAGGCAGGAAACACTGGACCCCTGGGTCCATAGGAACACATTCTGGGCAGGAACTGGGCAGTTGCACCTCTAACATGAGGCAGAGTGAGAAGGCATTCCCCTACAACAGATTTGGTGTGTAGTGAAAAGGTAGCAGGCTTTCAAATTTCTTGATTGCTCTATTTTTATTTTCAAGGAAAGGTTTTGAGGGATTTTCTCTACCTCAGAGCAAAACAAATTACCTAGCTTTGCGTACTGTACACTTTGAATAAGGCAGATGGGGTCATTTTTTGTGTGTGTTTGCTCTTCTTCACACAGCAAAATTTTGACTCATGATTCTTGTTGCATTATGGATTTACCTGGATTTCTGAAAGTGCAGTTCTGTGTTAAAGTGTTTCTGTCTCTTTAAGGATCCTTTTGGCTTTCTTCTAGGAAGCAACGTTTAGTAGAGCTGAGAACAGGACAAGCAGTGTTGAGTCACTGACTGGTCTACCTATGGTGTAGGATCAGCTTGAAAAACCCTCAAGTGATGGATGGGCACCAACTAGTTGTGGGCAGGGGCTGCCATTTTTAGAAAGGGAACAAAAAGCCCACTCTCTGCAAGTAGAGAACAGCAGAAATGATGTCAGAGAGCTAGACAGTCTTTTCTTGTTGTACTTGTTTTCTGCTTGCTAGGTGCTCCTTGTGTAGGGGGGTATTCCAAAAACTGAATTTGTCCTCTGAAAATAATCATAAGTTTATCGTGTCTCCTACAGGTTTTTAGAATCTCGTTCTGGCAAATTTATTTACCTAAAGCATTCCTTTATCCTTTCATTTCAAATTGTTCTTCAGCCTTCTATTCAAAAACTGGTTACTGATTCACAGTAACCAATTAAGAACTCAGAAAGGCAATGCTGAAAACAATTACAGCGGGATGGGTAGCAGGTATACTTCAGAATGTAAATGCATGGGAAAACACAAAAGGTATATCTTTGCCTGACACTTGCAGGACAACAATTGTAGATGGCAGGAAAGCCCCTGAGGTGAATATGTCCTGTCTCCACTAGTCGCCTCAGTTCAGATGATGGACTCAAACAGATGTAGACATTATAGTCTGGGCTTGTTGATGCAAGATAAGAGATTTCCTAGGGAACCTCCAAATCCCAGGTTGTGTAGGAGTCTGAAAGATACGCATGGGACAGACTTCAAAAAGTTCCCTTTTTGGTCTGTAGTTCCCAGAATGTCCCCAGACTAGCTTGGTCCCTGGGCAGCTCTGCCATCAGCAGGAAAGTTCTTGGATATTTTAAATGGATACAGCAAATACAGGGGCACAAGCATAAAGGAAACAGTTGTCTTTATTGAACAGCATGGAACTTGTACATTGTGACTCTGTATTTTTAAGTTTTATCTGCAGTTATGAGGTCTAGTGACTTCTGTTGTTATTTAAAAGAAAAGGGGAAAATGTGGTGGCAAGGAAGACAAAAAAGTGTGTGGAGTTGCTCCTTTGTGCTAAATGACTAACGTAGGTCTTTTGGTTTGACATGAGAGGATCATCTAGAAAGGTAACTGTGGAGAAGTGCCATAGACTAGCTAGGCAGAAAACTCCCCCCCACCACCTTTTTAACAAGTTTCTGTTTCCCCCTGTCGCTTACCCTGGCAGCGAGAGACAATCTAGTCCCCGGAGTTCCAGGTTAGAGATTGACACGGGATCCTCTCTGGATGAGCTACTCCCAGAACCCGCCAGCAGGTAGGAGAAGGTGGAGCAGGTGGACCTCTTCCCAAGAAGTGGCAGCAACTCAGCGCTGCATGGTGGAGGATGACGACACCTGTATATGAACTTTTGCTTTCCACCCCAGATATGGCTGTGCCCGGGCACCTTGGGGCTGGGGCTATATGACAATCAGATACTCTCTGTCTCTCTTTCCCAGGCTTCGGATGAATTCAGATGCTGGTGGAGGGAGTCGCCAGCGTGGCAGCGGTGGTGGAAGCAGTCCAATCCGTAAGCTGGCCTCGCCCTTCATGGATGGGGGCCGCCTGCCCTTACCCCTCCTGCAACCTGCCCAACCTAGAATCTATCCCTCCACTGATAGGTGAGAGTGTTGAAGGAGAAGGTACCACTTGAGGGGGATGAAGCATCAATGGTTGCAAAGGTGCATTAGGCAGATGAGACATGGACAGGAGATATACTTTCTAGGGATAGGATTTTCAGTTTGTTTGTTTGTTTGTTTGTTTGTTTGTTTGTTTTTTATTACAAATCTCACAATCCTCCATTCTGGGAGTTCTCCCTTACAGCAACCTAAATGTGGCTCATCTGGGAGAAAGGCCTCAACTGGAAGGCTTAACTAGGCCTAGCTCCACCCATGCTTCCTGCTCCTTCCCCAGTCCTGGGAATCTTTTTTTCTGAACAGGAAGCTAGGCCACATTTAGGAGTTTGTAAGGTCATGAGTATCTTCTGTGAGGGTTTGTCCAGCAGCCACTTTGGTAAAATTTGTATGAAGTAGTCAAATGGAGTGGGAGAAGCTGAGGAAGGCACTTTCCTCCTCCAGCTTAACTGATGATACCAGACTGGCAAGGGATCTAGTCATGCAGAAGTGGCTTCTGTACTATTGTAACAAGGTAAGAACCGGGCTAGGCAACATTATGGGGCAGCAGAGTCCTGAGATCGTAAAATGAACTTAAGTTGCTTTGCATATGGAAGAACCCTAACCCCTGCATTAAAAATAACAACAAATTTCTGTACGGGTGCAAATCTAGCAATTTACAGGCAGCACAGGCTTTTTTTTCGCTAGTAAGCCAGTTTCCTGGTTGTTATTAATGTGTGAGAGCACTGAAAAGGGGTATTCCTCCACATGCAGTTGGAGTGGTATAGTCCACTCTGGCATCTCATTCTGCAGCTATCACATTAATAGCTCAGATCAGTCAGTATAGAGTTAAGACAGCATAAGATCCAACTAGAGGTGGGGATATTCATATTTGTAAATTAATATGAATATCCCCATCCCAGCTGCACCTCATGAGGGTCCACCCCCTGGGACCAGCCCGTCCACTCACATGTCCCGGCACCGCGAAGGTCCCACTCTTCATACCAATGGCTCCTGGAGTTCTGCTGTCTTCCTGCTTGATTGGCCACTCAGTTTGTCTAGAGCCACAATACACACATTACAACGTGACCTTACATCTCCAGCAAACTCTTCTCTGAAGGACATACACACACTATCTATTGTCCTGAGTTTCCCACCATTCAAAGAAAGGGATGCTTCATGCAGTTTACCTGAGAGCAAGGAACTGGAGTTCTTCAGAGCTGCAGGATTGATAGTGAAGAAGTCAGTGTAAAATCTTATATTTGATACAAGGATCTGTGCTATTTTGTTGTTGTAGGTGTTTCAGGCTGTTTGGCCGTGTTCTGGAAGTTTTTCTTCTTAATGTTTCGCCAGGCTCTGTAGCTGGCATCTTCAGAGGATAGGAAAACACAGCATCCACACCAGAATCAAAGAAAATGAAAGACACTGCAGACTAAAACAACTGGAAAAATCGGCAGTAGTTGAACATGCCCTGAAACAAGCTGGACATGAAATCCTATTTCAAAACACAGAAGTACTGAACAACTCCAGCAGTCATTATGTTAGACTACACAGGGATGCCATTGAAATCCACAATTATCAACAAAGCTTCAACAACAAAGAAGAAAGTCTAAAACTCAACAAAGCCTGGCTCCCAGCACTGAAAAATACAGCCTGCAAAAAGGTCAACAAACTCTACCCAGGCACAAGGACTGGTGATCACTGCACACAGAAGACTAGCTAAGTACACGCATCAATCACAGTGACAGATAATCTCTCCCCCCATTTTCACAACAACACACCCATAACAAAAACCACCCTGATCACCGTAATCACCCAATCTCCTGAAAAGGACAAAAAGCTGATCCCACAACTACAAATATTCAACTATCCCACACACTACACCAGAACACAGACAGAGTTCTAACTCTTGTCCTCTGAAGATGCCAGCCACAGAGACTGGTGAAACGTTTGGGAAGAAAAACCTGCAGAACATAGCCAAACAGCCCGAAAAACCTGCAACAACCATCGGATCCTGGCCGTGAAAACCTTCGAGAATACATCTGTGCCATTTGTTTTTCCCCAGGCCAGACCGCTGGGGTGACCTTTCTCCACGGCCCTGGTGTGGCAACAGCTTTGAGAGGCAAGTGTTAACAGAGAAACGGGTGGAAGTAGATAAGGTAAGTTGCTATCTATTCTATACTCTCTTTTCCCCATCCTCCCTCCCCGCTTCTGCATTCACTATACTTTCTCTTTCCCCCATTTCTAGGAAGTTGCCAGGAATATGGATTCTGTGTTCAAGGAACTTTTGGGAAAGACTAGTAGCATGAAGCACACAGCGGCCGATGAACCCTTAAACCACCCTGAGCCAACAGATCCCCCGAAGAGCAACTTTATCGGCAAGAAAGGGGCCACCCCTGCCAAGCAGACCTCTTCAAATAGAGTGCTACTCCGGGGCAGAGTGGCCTTCAAATCCTCGGGGAATGGAGAATGAGCCAGACTTGGGGCAAGGGAAGGTGTCCTTCACATGATTTGCCCAATACTGTGATGATTTTTCCCCCCGTAGCCCATCCTCTTTCATATCGTGAAGACCGACCCAGGGGAGCTCTTTCTGTCTCCTGGCCCAGCTGCAAAACAGTGATAGGGAGAGGGGCATGGGGAAATTGTCAATCTGAATTTTTATTCCCAAGGGTTTAATTTCCAAGCGAAATGTTTAAAGGGTCATTTGGTGTCCTGGGCCTCATGCACTGGGGTAGGTCTGAAGGTTTAAATATTGTGGATGGGGTGGGTAGGTGCTTAAACACATGGCAATGTTTAGGGATTTTTGGGTGGTGGTTTTTCCTTTTCTCCCCCCCCCCCC